ACCATTGACACTTTGGATCACAGCTAGGAAAAGATAATGAGAATAACAAAGGCTCTAAAAACATGTGACATGATGATTCAGGTTGGGGGGCTAGACAAAAGTATAGAGTGGTGGAGGCTGCAACAATCTGGAGAATTTATGTCCTGTCCAAAGCTGAAATTGTGGCTCCAGATCTTCTGAGTTTTCAAGAGATGCCAGAGCTCCAGACGTTTCAGTGAAATGCCCTGATTTTCAAATGTTGGCAACTTATTCAATATTTTTCAAACACCACAGGCCAAACAAAACACATCTGTGGACCGGATGTAGCCCGCAGGCGCCAGTTAACAAATTCTAGTTTATAAGAACAGGAATGCTTAGCCTGGAAAAGAAAAACCTTTGAAGGGATATAGTACTAGTAACATCAAGTATCTGAAAAATGACTATGTAGAAGATGGTGTGGATTAATGCATGTGTCTCTAGAAGGCAGAACCCGATCTAAAGGCTGGGTGTTCATAGAAGCAGAATGGGGCACAATCTATAAGGGAGAGGTCTCTATTAGAGCAGTTGTCCAGCAAGAAACAGCTTCAAAATGCAGCGAGCTGCCCATCCCTGATGTGCTCCAGCAAAGGCTACATAACCAGGATTCCTGCTTTGGGTCAGAAGTTGGACTAGGTCAAAGGCTCCCAATTGTGGTTGCACATTAGAAACTTGAAACAAAGCATACAGATTACTGGACCCTGTCCCAGAACCACAGAGTAAGGTCCAGGAGTATTTTTAAAAAGCATCCCCGTTGGGTATATACCCAGTAATAGGATTGCTGGGTCAAATGGTATTCTAGTTCTAGATGATTTAGAACCACTTAATCTTTGACTGTAACACTGGCATTCTAGTCCTGTGATCCAGGGTTTTACCTATCTGGCCAGTAAGGAAGGGAAGAAGGGATTGAGGAAAGGAAGAACAATGTACCGGAGCTCATTATGGAGCAGGCCCTGTGCTGCTTTCCTTATGTCATCTCACTGTATTTTTCACAACAACCTGGTGAGTTGTGAAGTGATGTCCTCCACCCCGTTTCCCTAAGAAAGAAACTGGGGCTTGGAGAGTTTGGGAATGGCCCAATGTGACTGCCAGTCACTGGGATGATCTTTCTGGCTCCAGATCCCATGATAGTTCAACTATGCCACATTGCCCTCTTCTCACCCAACAAACATTTTTCCAAGTGCCCATGGTGGGCCAGGCAATGCATTAGGTGGCAGGGATTCTGCACTGATCAAGATACAGTCCCCAAGCTCAAGAAGCTTTGGAATCTAGAGAGGAAGAAGAAAAGTAAACAGTGACATCACAGTGGGAGCAACAGGGTCATATGGGAGGGGCACCCAACCCGGCCTTGTGTCATCAGGGAAGGCTTCAGAGAGGAGGTGACCGCTAAGCTGGGGAAAAGAGATTCCAGGGTGAAGGTGCAACAACATCTACAGAGACCCAAAGATCAGAGGGAGCCTAAGCCTACCAGGTGTGGGGAAATGTGACTAGTTCAGAGGCTGGAGTGTGGGATGCAAGGAGTGAAATTGTAAGGTAGGGCTGGCCACACTGAGACCTTGTCACTAACCTCAGAGAAACAGGAAGCAAGTAAGACTGAACAGAAGGGGGTGACATATGCAGATTCACATTTTAGTAGCTCAGACTGGCTGCGGAGAGGAGAATGGATTGGTGGAGGGAACACATGGGAGGCTGTGGCAGTCATTCAGCTAAGAGGGGATGACAAGCCACACAAAAGTGGTGGCACAACAGAAGATGTGCAGTATAGAGATGATGTTTTTTCACTCATTCACTCATTCTTTCAGTAAATAATATTACAGAGCCCTTGTTATGTGCTGGCCATTCTGCCTAGGCTGGACATACAAGCATGGGTAAAAGCAAATATAGTCCCTGCTGCCGTGAAGTTCACACTGTTAGCCCTCTGCTAGGGAAAAGATGTTTAGGGAAGTACTTTCAAAAGTATTAAATAAGGCCAGGCGTGGTGGCTCATACCTGTAATCCCAGCACTTTGGGAGGAGAGGTGAGCGGATCACCTGAGGTCAGGAGTTCAAGACCAGCCTGGCCAATATGGCAAAACCCCATCTCTACTAAAAATACAAAAATTTGCCAGGCATGGTGGCACACGCCTGTAATCACAGCTACTCAGGAGACTGAGGCAGGAGAATCGCTTGAACCCAGGAGGCAAAGATTGCAGTGAGCTGAGAGGGCGCCACTGCACTCCAGCCTGAGCGACAGAGCAAGACTCCTCCATCTCAAAACAAACAAACAAAAAGCATATTGGTTTATTATGTTATCAATAATAACATAGTAAGGAAAGGACGTACAGGGCTGGCTCCTCCATCATCAATTCTCAAAGAGTCATTAAGCATAGGAGTCACTCCATAAATGGAAAGAGTTATTGCAAAGCCAGTACTCTTCAGAATTACATCCCTGATGTTCATATATGACAGTGTCAATCAGACTGTCTGCTCTCAGTGTATTTCAAGGAAAGTAAGAACAATTTACCTACGTTTTAATTCATCATTCTTTGAAGAGAAGTGATGGATTTAAAAATGGTGATAAGACTTTAAGCTAATAAATTAGAAACATTCTCAAAAACTTACTAAATGTGGCCTTGCACTAAATTAAATTAAAACTCTTCTCGTGGCATTTGAGATTGTTGCTAGGAGCTGAAGAAGCAATTTGGATCTACCCTAAAATTGGCCACAGAGCAAGAAACTGGAAAATCACAGCGTGGAGGGAAGGGGGTAGGTGTCTGAAAACTGTGCTATCAATTTCTTCAATAACTCCATTCAGGTTGCAGTCCCAGTTTGCCAATGAGGCCAGGACGTTCTTCTTACCAGAGCCCTCATTGTTTAAACCACAGCCACAACATTCTTTTAATTCTTTTAGTCCATCCCAGTATAATAATCACCCTCGATTAAACAGCTGTGCCTGTGGATGGCACATTAAGCTGCTTCTCTTTTAGAGGTGATTTTTATTTTTTGCGACCTCTCAGATGACCCCTCTGATCTTTTATCATTCTGGCATCTCAAAGGCCAGCAAAGAAAACCATAAATTAGAAAATGAAAATGTTCCCTTCCCTTTCTGTTTTTCACTTGAAACACTGCTCTTAACACCAGCTCACCACTGATCTCGAATCACTGAGAAAGACCCTCTTCTTGTTTCTTCCTTCACCATGGTGCTGTTTCATGAGATTATGATAGACCTTTCCCCAGTCCACCAGAAAAAGGGAGCACACACCCCAGATTGGTAGCACTGAGTCAAAATCTGCTTACCCAGAAATGTTATAGAAAAAAGGAAATCGTGGCCGGGCGCGGTGGCTCAAGCCTGTAATCCCAGCACTTTGGGAGGCCGAGACGGGCGGATCACGAGGTCAGGAGATCGAGACCATCCTGGCTAACACGGTGAAACCCCGTCTCTACTAAAAAATACAAAAAACTAGCCGCCAGGCGTGGTGGCGGGCGCCTGTAGTCCCAGCTACTCGGGAGGCTGAGGCAGGAGAATGGCGTGAACCCGGGAGGCGGAGCTTGCAATGAGCTGAGATCCGGCCACTGCATTCCAGCCTGGGCGACAGAGCGAGACTCCGTCTCAAAAAAAAAAAAAGAAAAAAGAAAAAAGGAAATCATGCCTCATATGGGTTGAATAATCCCACCCTTAACATTTGGCAACTCAAAGAAAAACACAAATGAGGAAGATGCATTTGAGTTCTTACAAGCCAGCCTCCAACACAACCAGCTTTTTAAAAATGTTTTGGATTCCTAAAACTAAAATTCTAGTGTTCCTCCCCCTTCCATAAATTGTACAGCCAGGAAAGAAGAGGCAACACCAAATGGTGACAGGGACTTTTGTTGCTATTATTGGGCCGTTGGTTTTATCGTAGTATTACATAGTATTGATGAACTTTTAAAAAATCACTTTCCTCAAACTTTCTAAATATGTTACTGTCGTTGCTCAAAGAGAGGTCTGAGATTTGTTATGTATTTTAGACATCTTCTAAGTAACTCCACAGAAGACTGTCAAAAAAAAAAGTGTGACCTCAATCTGCCTATAGGTGCCCTAGTGGAGAATGCTTGATACCAGATGACAACCCCCACATGCCCCAATAGTGCAAGAACAAAGTGGAGGCCAGAGCGGGGACTGGTGGTTTCTTCTGAGTTCTCAGAAGGACTTACCTGATGATCCACTCACCTCTCCTTCCACCTTAACAGAAGAATAGGAGATAACAAGCAAAACTTCTAGAAAGAACAATTAGCCCTTCAACTTCTAACATCCAGGCGGTTCATTTCCCAGTGAGAGAGATAAATGGGCAATGGTAAGCTGTGCCACACACCAGGTATCTTATTTTTCAAGAATAGCTTTCTCGGCCAGGAGCGGTGGCTCACACCTGTAATCCCAGCACTTTGGGAGGCCAAGGCAGGCGGATCACAAGGTCAGGAGATCAAGACCATCCTGGCTAACACGGTGAAACCCTGTCTCTACTAAAAATACAAAAAATTAGCCGAGCTTGGTGGCGGGCGCCTGTAGTCTCAGCTATTCGGAGGCTGAGGCAGGACAATGGCATGAACCTGGGAGGCAGAGCTTGCAGTGAGCCAAGACTGCACTACTGCACTCCAGGTTGGGCGACAGAATGAGACTCTGTCTCAAAAAAATAAAACATAAAAAATAAAAAAAAGAATAGCTTTCTCTTTAATGCTTTCACATGGGTTCTAACGGTAACCTTGGAGAAGAATAACCTGAAATCCCATGTTAGTGCCCCATTTTCTCCAGGCTGTTTGTCTGCCTCTCTCAGAACATAGTGTGATTCATCCATTAGGCTATCTGGAAAATAGGCATTCAGAATAAAGGCAAAGGGGATATAACAGGCAAGACTATTAGAGGTAGCTCTAAGCTTTGCTTTGTGCTGCTCAAGTGATTCATGAATGCAATTCATTTCCTTGCCTACAGTTCACATGCTCATGGCTGTTCAGAGATGAAAAGGTAAGATGTTCCGAGTAGTTTTGTCAAATGGACCAAATACTGATGCTGTTTATGAGCCTTGAGATAAAAAAACTCTGACTTCATAGCAACTCTTAATTATGTGAATGCACACCAAGAATAGGATAAATATAAAATCTATGGATAACCATGGAAAACAAGTTTAAGTTGGCATCCTGCTTCAGCCCTGCTAAATCATTTACCAGAGTAAACCTGGCTTGAAAACACTTTCAATTCCCCAACTGCTGTCAAGTGGGAGAGCAAACGAACAGAGAAATGATGGGATGGGAGTCGGAGAAAGGCCTGACAAATATGTAGTCAGAGGTGCCACTTCCATTCCTGTGCCTCTAGCAGACATGACTAATCAAGCATGATACTCTTTTCCATCTTCAATAAGCACAACCTTAGACTCTTTCTCAGCACTCAAGTAGTCCAGGCAATCATTACCAATCAATAACAGCTGGCCCATTTGCCGTTCCAGTTTAGGAGAAATCTGGATGATCCACCAGTTATATCATCAGTTAACTTTTAATTTCAACAAGAATTAAACATTGGTTGATTGGTCTTTCATTTAACTACTTTATTTTCCTCTAAGAACTAGAATAGTTTATGGAAATTGTCATGAAAAGCTAAAACACATTGCTTCTAAGTTCTCTAAGATGGACAGATAAGCATGCTGTCTCAGCACACAGCACAAGATTGTCTTGTGAGTCGGGAGCAAAGAATCAGATGAGGGTTTAGCCTAACAGGGAGTGAAGACATGACTGCAGCTAGAAGTTAAGGGCTGCTGGGGACTGGGTACTTGGAGGCCTCACTTGGGGGAATATGGGCAAAGCCAGGAACCGCACAGAGACCACAGGAATCCACTCCTACTACCTAAGAGACGTCGTTCATGTACAGAAATTCCTTTGAGTTAAAGTTTCCCCTGTTGAAATCACCTCTGAGTGAATGAGGAAACTATCTTTCAGTCACACCTTAGTGGAGAATGTTTACTTAGGTTGTTTTTTCTTGACTCCTAAAAAAAGAGCAGCAGCAAGAGGAAGTTGGGTGTTTCGAATGGAGACAAAGAAAGAAAACAAATGTGATTTGAGGCCTCCTAAGAAGGACTGTCTTGAATCCAGTGCTGGGCTTGAGACACGTTGAGAATCACTTATTGAGCTACTACTGTATGGCAAGAACTTTTCATACATTATATTGCTTCCTCCTCACCCCTAAGAGTGAGTTACAATTAACATCTTCCATTTACAGATGAGAAAACCAAGGCTCAGTAATGTAAGTAATCTGCCTGATGTTACAAAGCTAGTGAGGGGCTGAGGCCCCATCCAGACCAAGATTTCTCTGACTCCAAAGCTTGTTTCTGTCCCCGTTACACTGAGCTGGCTCTTCTGGGGAAGCATCACAGACACACTTGGTACACTCAGAAATAAATGTTCCTTAAGGCCACTGCCTGTCTGACTCTGCCACCTCCTTCCAGAGATTAGGAAGGAAGCAAATTGTCCTCATGCAAAGCAGGCCTTAAGAGAGAAGGATCATCCCCACCTGTTGGAACATCTTGTCTTAGAGAGATTAGGGGGCTGCAGACTGGAATGGCATGTGTCATCCTCCTTCGGCTCAGATATCATTCCTCCCTTGTGGAGAGAGGCAGCTTCAAAGGGGGTCAGAAACAGAAACTGAGCACAGTGAATGAGAGGCTGGAGGGGCAAATGTCCTCCTGCCACCTTTGATGAGGCAGAGGCATCCATGCGGGGCAGGATGTGCTCTGTTTGGTCATATAGGAGAGGGCGTGTCTAGAAGCTAGTCCTGTCCTGCTCCATCAGTGGGGTTTCCCTGGGGATCTCACACTCCCTCACAGTATGTAGACGCCACTATGCACCTGCATGCTGAGAGAAGGCAGCAGGCCAGGAGGACCCCCTGCCTCTTCTCTAAGTGTATCCTACCCACCCCTATGCCATGACCCAGGCTGCAGCTGCTCTCCAAGGACTCCTTGGTCCTGCACCCTCAATATTCTAAGAGATCACAGGATTTGCCCTTTGGGCAGGTCCAAGGACACCCAGGAGCAGCATAACCAGCACACGCGGACCAGGCAGGCATAGTTCCTGCCACAGAAGCAGTGACACAGGGAGCAGGATACCTCCAGGGTATGATGTGGGGAAATGGGGAGCAGGAAGAGATGGCAGGTAACACACATTCAGTGTTTTCTGCACATCCCAGTGAATCCTCCAACTATCCCCATTCTGCAGAAAATTTCAATAACTTAGCCAAGGAGCCAGGATCAACTAGGTACTTTCACCAAAGCACCTGTAACAGAAGACAAGAGTGAACATCTTTCCCTGCATGTCTGCCTGAAAAATACATTTTTAACTTAACATTCACATGAATTTTGCAGTCTAGCACTGCCTTAAGATATCCATATTCATTTCAATGGAAAAATTATGTCTTTAATTGACTAACTTAAAAAAATTAACCATCTGCAAAATCATGCTGATCCCACGAGTGATGCGGACCCTGGCATTTCTCAGGGGTACCACCTCGAGGGGCATAAGAATCTTGGGCCAAGTCAGGGCCACACCATCCTGCTGCCCCAGGCACCATGAGCTGCTCCTTCTTTTCCCAACTTGGAGGTTCCAGGTGTTCATTAGGAGATGCAGCAGGTTATAAACCATAACTCAGGCAAGAGGAATAGTGGGGGGCAGCATGCAGGAGACAACGCAGCACAAAGAAGCCCCAGGAAAGGTGATCAACAGATCCAGACCAACAGAGCCAAAGGAGCACAAGCACTTCGGGATTCCAATCACTTTGCCCTCCTCAGGTTTGTGACCAACACTCCGGTGATGAAGGACTAGTAATCAACAGTAAGCTCATGGATGGGAATTCCCTTCATTGAGCCTCTCTCTCTCTCTCTCTGTCTCTCTCTCAAACACACATACCCCCCACACCACCACTTTGGGGGAAGGAGAGGAGATATTGCAGAGCTACAGTTTTGGAACTGGAACAAGGAGGGACTTTCTGGTGGATCAAAGTATGCTAGAGATCAGGCAGTACTAGAGCTAAGAGTTTGCAACCAGGCAGATAGGGATCCGGGGGGAGCACACTGGCACCAAACACAAAAGTCATCTGGCCTCTGAAACTGGCTTTTATCAGCCAGTAGGTGTGTGAGCTTAGATCATGGATAATTTTCAGAGAAACCACTTGTATCACACAGTCCCTATTCAAGAACCCAAAATGTTTCTGCACGAAATATTTGAACCCCTATATATTGAATGGTGATCTAGTCATTCCATTGTTGCCTAGACAAAGACGAATTCTCAGGAATCTACCAAGACCATAAGCTCCAGAAGGGCAGGGATTGGGTCACTGTGGCCACCACTATATCCCTAACTCCTGGCACATAGCAGGCCCTCACTAAATCTCTGCTCATGATTCATTCACATTCATTCAAAATAACACATTTGTTCACCCTGCCTCTTCCACTCTACTTTTACAGGGATTATTAACCAAAAAGGTTACTGCAGGGCCTCACAGAAGTACGTCTACCTGAGTAAAAATTCTGCATCACAGCAACTGCAGTGGTGTCACACCAGACATGTTTTTGCTCAAAAGAATTCAATTAACACCCACAAGGAAGGGAGGTGGACACGGACACACACACTTCAATCAGGAACTCAATGATCACATGCCCACGGTGAGAGAGAAAAAGGAAACACGACCCCACAGCTTCCTCTGCATCTCATTCCAGAAAGCTTTTCACAGTGTGAACATCTCACAGAGCTGACTGGGATTCTAGTGTTTAAAGAAACGTATTTTTCATACAAGTTGGCCCCTAAATGCAAGCCAACTTCTTATCTGGTGCTCAAGGAAACAGCAATGCGGCTCCAACTCTGCAGGCCAAAGTGGCTGTGTTGGCCTCCACAAGGGATAGTGTACAGGCCTCCAAGGTGGCACCTTCCAAAGAGATTTTCAAGAGTAATTTTGACTCTACAAGACTTCTGCCTCACACATATAGGGGCTTAGCCACCCAGAGAGCTATGACCTCTCTAACACTGTCTCGTGTATCGCCCAAACAAGGTTAGACTGAAGGAAGGAGAAGTTCCCAAAGGAGAGCATCATACGTCTTGTTACACAAGCGGTCTATAAAGTAAGTCTGTTTAACGTAGACAGGGTTATTTTTGGCATATCATCTTCCAACCAGTTTTCTGGTTTTCAAAATAATATCTACAAGGTGATTACTCCAGAGGGCCCACTTGGAATTTTTATGATTTTTTTTCTAATTGATTTCAGCACATGTTATTTCAAGATCTCTATTAAACATATCAAACACATTTAACCTTACCTAAAATAAAACCAACTCATTAGATGATACAAAGAACATCTCATTAGCAGAGCACTGATAAATATTTTCTCTCTTCCAGCTAAGCATTGCTTATTATACGCTTGAACACTGTGCAGTCTTATCATGCCACCATTATCAGCCTCATACGCTGAGCCTAAGCATAAAACTATAATAATGGAATTGGACCTGTACACTGCTAAGCTCTTGGATACTGGTTCATACAATCTGGCCAATTTATATAGCCAGTTTAAACCAACTGCATGTTTTCATAAACAAGGCAATTCTCACACTTTTAATGATCTGATTTATTAGACCTTTTAAGTAAACAAGCTTAGAACTCTTTCTTTCTCTTTTTAAAAAGGTACATACAGCAACTTTAAGATATTATATGTGTATGTATCTTTGGGAATACTACAGCACCTTTAAGAGGGTATATGTGTCTTTGGGAACATAGACTCTTTTCTAAAGTATAGTCTAGGTTTCTCTAATGCTAGGTGAATTTTAGAATCACTTTAAGGCAATCAAGTCACTTTGGAGACAAAGAAAGAATAAGATGAAGGTAGTAACTGAAAAGCAACCTCAGCTAAGCTATAGCTATTTTCATATTCTTTACCCCCAAAATTCTTGTGGGAAATTACTATAAGGAAATGATCAGAGATGAGCACAAAGATTTATGTTCAGGGTATATATTGGGGTATTGGTTATTGTAGGAGTAAAAAACAAAAGCTTAATTGTCCAATCTCAGGGACATAATAAAATATGGCACATCAAAATGATGGGATATTATGCAGATATTAAAAATGTCATTTCAAATAATTTTTAAAGACTTGGAGAAAGATTTGTTATATATCATTAAGTGACAATTTTAAAAAACAGTAAACAAAATTATATCCAAGGCCTAGCATAGTGTCTGGTGCCTGGCAAACATTCAAAAAGAATTTTGTTGCATTAAGTAATATATACAATGAGATAGCAAGTCTATATTTTAAGTAAATATGTACATACATATATAAAGAGGAAGAGGAAGAGAAAAAAGACCAAGTCAGTAGTATTTATCTCTTAGTGATTCGATTACAAGTTATTTTCTCTTTTTTTCTTTTGCTCATCTGTATATACCACATGTTACGGTTAATACCTATCACTGATATAGTTGGGAGAGAAAAGAAATGCTATAAAAACTAAACGTGAAAACACATGTCTACATGAAATTGCATTTTAAATGGAATTTTAAAAGAGTCATTAGAACACAGAAGCCTGACGATCCCAGCAGCAACAACAGAAGCAAAGTCATGGATTGGAAGGTCACATATGTCTGTTCCCAAATAGATGCTCCAAGGCAGGCCAAACTGGAATTCTGGGACTAGAAGAACAGCTGGGTTTTGTTTTTGTTTTTGTTTTTGTTTTTTTGAGACAGTCTCGCTCTGTCACCCAGGCTGGAATGCAGTGGCACAATCTCCACTCACTAAAACCTCTGCCTCCAGGGTTCAAGTGATTCTCATGCCTTAGCCTCCCGAGTGGCTGGAATTACAGGCACAGCATCATACTCGGCTAATGTTTGCATTTTTAGTAGAGATGGGATTTTGCCATGTTGGCCAGGCTGGTCTCAAACTCCTGGCCTCACATGATCCTCCCAGCTCAGCCTCCCAAAGTGCTGGGATTACAGGAGTGAGCCACCGCTCCAGGCCAGAACAGCTGTACTTTTAAAGCAAGTATATGGTTCATTTTTCACCTTGTATCAGAATCTTCTATGTTGAGATGATGTATAAAATCTAAGCCAAATTGAGCTAGTTTTAATTCATTCTGTTTACTGAACAACATTAGCCCAATTTTTCAACTGAAGATTTTTCTTGCTTTGGGTAGAGAAAAGGCTATTTTGCATGTCATTGGCTAGGCTTCAGAAACCAAAGGTTTTGGCAGCATGAGCTTCTCTCAGTGCAGGGGGTTAGATGGTACCAATGCCTCGGTCTAACATTTGAAGTGGGAGAGTGTGAGGTAGTAAATCCATGTGTTTCCAATTTTCCCATCCCTGAAACCACAGATTAGAGAGAATCTCCACAAATAATTTTTGATGACCTCAAATGGCTTCAATTAAATGAAATCAAATCAAATATTTCTAGTTCAATACTATGTATTGTTAACGAGGATGAAATGCGTTCTTGATTGACCCAGTATCTGAAAAAACTATCTGGCACTTTAAATGATATATATTTAAGCCCTGTCACTAAGTAGCCATTTAATTAAAGTAAATGTCTCAGCATAAATCCTCCTGGCACAGGGTCATGTAGGTTTAAAAATCAACCTGCAATTAGGACTTTCAGCCTAATTATGTGGCAACAAACTTAGCCTAGGAGTAGTGACATATTGAGGGTCTTGAAAAGCTTTACACTTTTGTGTCAAAATTTATGATGCTGTTTCCTCCTCCTTTCCTTCTCAGTTTGTATTCAACTTCACAACCTTGATTAACAGCAGCATCTGGCAGTTCTCTCCCAAGCAGCTGTGATGTAGAGGAAAGAACACAAAATTTAAAGTCAAACCAACCGGGGTTCAAGGATTTGTTCTGCCCCTTGCTGGCTCCAACTGTGCCCTGGGTGCCTGTCTTAGTAAAACCAAGAAGACATCACCTACCTCTTCTGGAGGCTGTGAGGATCAAGAGAGTAACTCATGTGAAGGTACTGGGTACAAAGTCATCACTCAAAATACAGTCTAGTATAGTTTTCAAAAATTAGTGTCCTAATGTGGAAGTAATATATAAGAATGGTGCTTCCATTCAACAGAGGAAATGAGTCATTTCACCCTAAAGGTCTTTCACTTAGGGAGGGCAGCAATATTTCCTCCATAGTGCATGCTATCCTGTAATCCACAAATTTCTTTGGAGTTTCTTCTGTGAACTAATTAATACACACCAAAGGATCAATGTCACTGCAGGGAAAATCTGTGACTTCTTAGTCTGTCCTACCTCCCTCCATTTTAGGAGCTGTCCTTCCTAAATCCTTGTGATCCAGATGAAACTGTTCATCGATACATTTCCCTCAGCTGTTCTCATCACCAGGGCTGGGTGCATTATCCAGGCTGACCAGAGTGCTTTTTCAGAAATTGATTTGGATTGTGGGAGGGGAGCAAGGGTGGCCCGTCTCTAAGATACTGAGTTCAAAGTGCACGTCATCATCTCTCACTTCCCCTTCTATAACTGGAAGACAGTAGACTTTCCATTTTGCACTAACATTACTACACATAACTAACAGCACTGACAGCCCACACATAACTACCTTTTCTGGTCTTTTTCCAGCAGAAAAACATTTCCAATCTCACAAGCATCCACGTCCAGGAAGCACTACTTTATGCCATGAAATCTAAGACGGCCAGAAGGCAGAGTCTGGCTTTGTCAGCAAGAACACTGGTTCAACACACACACACCCCCACACCCCAAAAACAAAAACACACAGAAAATCACTCCTTTGGGGGAAAAGGGGAAAAAGGACTCAGTGACCATCAAAAATAAAAAGGCGGAACTGGCTGATCTGCAAAAGCTCCCAGACAAAATCACCAGCAATATAAGAGGACCCTGAAGATGAAAAGGTTTGACTATGTTCTCATCACTGTTTGCCAAGTGAGTCTGGTTTTGCTGATGAAAACATAATTTCATTTACTTTCCACTTTTGTTTCCATGGTCCAGTGATCTCTCACATTACTAGGTTATCTAAATAATCACAATTATCTCCTATTTACTGATGCGCTGTGTTTTTCAATCCATCAAAACCAGTATAGAAGCAAAGAAATATCCAGGGTGTCAGATATAATATAAACGCTACCAGGATGTCATTCAAAATAGAGCCACCTTTTAAGGCTCAAAAACCATACAGTGATTTAGATTTTCACTAAAGTTGGATAGCTCCCAAAATGGATTTTAATGGAGGAACATATCCATATTCTTTAATGTAGAAAATGTTGGGGTCCTCATAGCCCACCAAAATTCAAGTGATTGAACTAGAGAAAGAGTGGTATTCGCTTGAATGACATAATAGACTTTCCTGCAGAGAGGCAGCAAAAATAGCACATTCAATTGGGTATCTGAAAAACACTTGAAATTGTTGTATAAAACAACTGAGAAATTAAACAACAGGAAAATGTCTGGATAACAAGTCCAGAAGAGGTGATTTTCCCCTTTTGTGCAGAGCTACAATTGTTCTACTCATCTGCTCTTTCTCAAGGAGCACCCTTGAGATTTTTATCCTTTGAAGTAATAAACGTATGAGAGGCTTATTTAACAACTGTGGGATCCAGGTTTTCTCATCTGTTAAATGAATGGGTTAGATGGTATGTTTTTTTTTTGAGGTTCTTTCTAGATCTAAAAAGTCTATGGTTCAGCACAGAATACATAGCTCTCACAGAGTTTCCAAAAACATTGGAGTAATTGGCCCCCAAGGAAAGAACATTCAGCCACAAAGCCCTTCACTCCTGGACTGAAACATTTGTTTCCTCTGCTTCCTATTGATGGATAGAATAAGATGGGCAATAGTGCGAGTATTTACATAAGAGTTTTTACTAATGAAAATCAAGATGAAAACACTAAAATAAAATAAAAAGAAAGAATAATGGTCAAGATCAGGACACCAAAACAGATGGATTCTCATTTGTCTGGGGTACTTTAGGAGAGGTCTTCCTTGTAAAATGGCAGAGAGATGGGAAGACTATCCTGTACCTGAAAGGATAAAAAAAAGATATTCCAATAGAAGGAATGAAAGATGTTCACTGAGATGATTCTTCTTCAACGTTTTTCCCCTTCCAAATTCCCAGGAGCAGGTGTCTCTGCATTCCTTAAGACAGCAACTGCTGATCCTCACCTACACCCCTCCATTCTCCAGGATGTCTGAAACACCAGTGGGACTTCCTGCTATTCCCCACTACCTTTCTGGATCTTAGCTGTACCACTCCCCTTCACCCATTGAACAGGGCATTCTACAGTCAAAGTGAACCATTTACCTGGGTTTTCCCAGCTTCGCATCTTGGCTCAAGCTCTTCTTTTAATTGCTCCCAAACCAATAACTACAGTTGAAGGGCCACCTTCTCCATAAAGCCACCCGTGACCCATCCCACAGCCCACTTTGTACCTCCCACATATTTCTTCCATGGACTGGTGAAAGCCTGTACTTTTGGAGTTTAAGAAAGGGATGGTGAGAAATTAAATATTGACTGTCCAAGGGATAGAGAAAAAAACACAGTTGTCTGATGCCACTTTAGACTTCCTGGTATGGGAGGGGATAAAGTCCCTTTTTTTTTTTTTTTTTTTTTTTTTTGAGATGGAGTCTTGCTCTGTCACCCAGGCTGGAGTGCAGTGACATGATCTCGGCCTGCTGCAATCTCCGCCTCCTGGGTTCAAGCAATTCTCCTGCCTCAGCCTCCCAAGTAGCTGGTATTACAGGCACCCACCACCACACCCAGGTAATTTTTGTATTTTCAGTAGAGACGGGGTTTCTCCATGTTGGCCAGGCTGATCTTGAACTCCTGACATCAGGTGATCCATCTGCCTCAGTCTCCCAAAGTGCTGGGTGGGATGTGGGATTACAAGCGTGAGCTACCATGCCTGGCTGGAGTGCAGTGGCACAATCTTGGCTCTGCACCTCCCAGGTTCAAGCAATTATCCTGCCTCAGTCTCCCGAGTAGCTGGGACTACAGGCGCCCACCACCACACCCAGCTAATTTTTGTATTTTCAGTAGAGACGGGGTTTCACTGTGTTGTCCAGGCTGGTCTTGATCTCCTGACCTCGTGATCCGCCTGCCTCAGCCTCCCAAAGTGCTGGGATTACAGGCGTGAGCCACTGCGCCTGGCCCTAAAGTCACTTTTTTAAAACCATTTTTAAGTGGCTAGTGGATAGTTCTGTGGCATTAGGCACACTAACATTGCTGTATGACATCACTCCGGACCACTTCCAGAACATAAAGTCACTTTTGCTTAAACTAGTTTGGTGGGATTTCTGTTACTTGCATCCAAAAAATAAATCCTGACTAATACATGCATCATATACATTAGTAAATGTAAGAAATTCAGAAGGGCTTTGAGAGCTGTTTTAAAAATGATAAATAAAGCAAAATTTTTCTGGCACCGTGAAAGCAAATGGGACCCCAATGAAAGATTCCCAACGACAATCATGGTCTGCAAAGAGCAGGAAAAATAATTCACCAGATGGATCATGTGATGTAAATCACGGAAATTTTTTTTAGTTTTTATATTTGTAATAGGAGAAAGCGCCAATATGCAAAGGAAGCTCGAATCTCACCTCCCAAGGGAAAAAGACATTCTACAAAGAAAATTAGAATTGTGCCAAAAGGGCAAATCTCCAAAGGCACAAGAGGCCTTAGAGAATACGAAGGAAGTAGCAAGAGTGAGTAAATGCCTTCAAACAAAAATATCCCTTTATTTTAACAAGCTGTAGAAGGCTGTTCTTCATATTAACCTTACATATAAAAATAATTTATTAAAAGTTTAATTGAAGAATATTCAAGATCACTGTTTTCATGTCAGCAGAAAACCTTATGCAAGTTACTTTGACAGTAATCTAGAAAACTTATAAGAACGAAAGCGTACAATATTTTTAAATGTAAAACAAAGACAATAGTCATATCCTAATCCTTTCTTTGTGGCAGGCCTTAATTCCCTCACGGTTTTTATTTCTTATTTACCATATATTTAAATTTGAATAACATTATATCCAATTTTCTCCAGGAAAGAAATTTCTGTCATTAATATGGCTAAATATTTTATTATAAATTCTACAGTGTTATGATCCAATAAGGAGTTAGACTAGCCACTATAATGTTCTTGGTATCGTAGTTGTTATCCTAGAAAATGGGTTCTCCATATAACGGGAAGGTTTTTCTTATTTCTCCTCCTTTTTCTCCACTTATCAAAGTATTGTCATTGTGTATTTCAAGACAAGAAATATGATCTAAAGAAGGAAATGCAACAGAGAGTTGTCATAGGTAGACACTGGTCATTTGCTTGATAGCCAGACTCAATCACAGATACTCTTTACCTTCGTGGGGAGGCTCCACAGCTAGACAATGAATGCTTCAATTAATTCCTATGTCAGGTTGATTGTATTTCTGGGGGCAAAAAACATCCTTTCTTAAAGGGGCATTCAGGAATCTACTTTATGCTGACTCACAGGTAGGCTTAGAACTGATAATTTGCTATGCTGGTGGGTTTTTAAGATTATATTATATAATGTCAAAGTCATTTAAAAAAAAATTGGAGAACATACTCTCCTAAGTTAACATTATTTGAGCTATCGTAAAAATAGCTGCTAGAGGTTGGGCACAGTGGCTCACGCCTGCAATCCCAGCGCTTTGGGAGGCCGAGACGGGCAGATCACCTGAGGTCAGGAGTTTAAGGCCAGCCTGGCCAATGTGGTGAAACCCCATCTCTACTAAAAAAATGCAAAAATTAGCCAGGTGTGGTGGCACGCACCTGTAATCCTGGCGACTCAGGAGGCTGAGGCAGGAGAATCACTTGAACCTTGGAGGTGGAGGTTGCAGTGAGCCGAGATCACGGCACTACACTCCAGCCTGGGCGACAGAGTGAGACTCTATCTCAAAACAAACAAACAAAAAAAAATAGCTGCTAGATAAGGTAATTTTTTTTTTCAGAGACAGAGTCTCACTCTGTTGCCCAGGCTGGAGTGCAGTGGAGTGATCATAGCTCACTGTAGCCTCAAACTCCTGGACACAAGTGATCCTCCCACCTCAGCCTCTTGAGTAGCTGAGACTATAGGCACACACTATCATGCCCAGCTAATATTTTATTTTTTTGAAGAAACATCATCTCACTATGTTGCTTAGGCTGGAAATTGTTTTAAATGTAATATTTTAGTTACTCTTTGACTAGTAAGCTTGACCTCAAACTTCTATCACAGCCTCTAAAACATGGAATACAGTCCTTGCTAAGGCATAACTTAGATTGCCTCAACTTTTCATCTCTTCCAGGGAAAATTCCCTAAGAATATGAATGCATTACCTTCACCACCCTCAGCCATCTTTCACTCATTCAGAAGGTCGTTGGTAATGGGACAGCCTATGTTATAATATGTCTCTTTTCACTGGAGATAACCTCAAGAAGTCCCAGAGTGTGATGTGATAGACATGGAAAGAAATTACATATGATCAGCCAAAGGTGAGGACTAGAAAGCACAATGGGTCAGAGAGGCAACCTGGAGTCACAGAAAGCACCCAGTGTGAAGCGGGGGAAAGCTGGGCTCTGGGCTCTTCCTCCTCTTGGGTGAGGCTACTTTATCACCAGAATCTCACTTCTGCCATCTGGAAAATGTTCTACTGCACTCCATGGCTAAGATCTCGTCCTATACCAAAATCCTAACATTAAAATGCTTCAATGACTCAAATACTGTCTTCTGTGGTTCTGCTATAGCTAAGAACAGCAGCTGGAGGAAAAGGAGAAATAAAAGTTCGACCAAGAGACTGGTCTCCTAAGGCAGATAACGTGAGACTCTAACTGCCCTGTGTCCTGGAGTTGCTCACTAGGATCTGCTTTGTACTTTTATTTTTCTTTATCCCCCATGGTACCTACTGGTGCCTTGTAAGCAGACACAAGAAGAGGAGGAGGAGGGTAGGGAAGGAGGCTCCTAAACTTCTTGAGCCATAGCTGAAAACACGAAGGCAGGAGACAAAACAAAACTACCAAGAATAGTGTGTAATGGGAACTAAATATTCTCTTTAAAGATCAAAAACTTCCAAGAAGATGGAAGTTTTATTTAAGCCTTCAGCTCCCCATCACTGGTGGATCATGCAGCTTTAAAAACCATTCTCTGCCCTCATTCTTCTAGAAGATTGAGACCTTCCTCTGGCCTAAGGACACGTCCTCTCTCCTCCGTTTTCCTCTTGTTGATCTTTCAGTGGGTATGACAGTCACAAAATAAGGGTTCTGGAGAAGTGTGGGAGAAAGGGCATCATCCTCATCATCTAGGGCTGTGCTCATTCTGTTTGAGTTTGCTTTCAACAGGTTCCTTTAGACAATCCGATCATTTCATGCTCCTCCATCAGATTTCCTTCTCTTAGTCCTGATTTTTTGTTTGCTGCTGTTATTTTGATAAAACTACAACAGGGTTTCAAGGTAGTTGATTTTTGTTTTGTTTTGTTTTTTGAGACGGATTCTCACTCTGTCACCAAGGCTGAAGTACAATGGCATGATCTTGGCTCCCTGCAACCTCCACCTCTCAGGTTCAAGTGATTCTCCTGCCTCCGCCTCCCAAGTAGCCGGGATTACAGGTATGTGCCACCATGCCTGGCTACTTTTTGTATTTTTAGTTGAGATGGGGTTTCACCATGTTGGCCAGACAGGTCTCGAACTCCTGTCCTCAAGTAATCCGCCCATCTCGGCCTCCCAAAGTGCTGGGATTACAGGTGTGAGTCACCACACCCGGCTGATTTATTTTTTATTATTAAACTATGAAATACTTGAAGCATACAAAACAGTGTAGATAATAATGCTACAGACACCCATATACCTACTGTTCAGATCAAGAAATGAAACATTAAAGATCCAAGCAAAGCCCCAGCCCCATTACCTACCCTTCCACTTCATAGTAAACCACTATCCTGATATCAGTAGTTATCAATCCCATGTAGGTTTTAAAATATTTAGTGGATGGACTTATGACCATAAATAATGTAGTCTTTTAAAGGTTCACATAAATGGAATTAGAGGGCATATATATCCTTCTGAAACTCACCTTTTCCATTCAATATTATTATGTTTTGGGGATTTATTCATGTTGATACATGCATTGCTAGTTCATTCATTTTCACCCTTGTATAGTATTCCATTGCACGGAAAATACCACAAGTTATTTCTCCATGTCAGTATGTTTGTTTCCTTTTTGTTTGTTTTCATGACAAACAATGTTCTGATGAGCACTCTTGGCATTAGTTTCCTTTTACCCAGATGCAAAGTTTTTCCCAGGGAATAAAACCAGAAGGGACATCACAACCTAGAATTGTGGGGTGTGCACAGCTTCACCTATCTCCAAATAGCTGCAAGTAGTTGTAACAATTTACACTCCCAGGAGCACTGTGTGAGAGATCCTGTTTACCTATATCTTCACTACATTTGTCACTTTCAGGTTTTAACGTTTGTAATTTGATGGCTACATCTATTTGTGGTGTGCTTTCACCTATTACTTATATGACGGAAAAGTTTTTACAAGACAAAACAACTTTTAAGATATTTACTGGATGTGGAAAATAAAAACATGATTCCACAAAGGTATAAACAAACCCCGAAAAGTAGATGCATGTCTGTATGTGTCACAGAATACATTTTTAAAAAGAAATTTCCATCTGTATTTATGAAATGTTGGTTTCTGAGGGGCGGTCACATCTACGGAAAGGATCTTGGTCCCTCAAACTGTTCCCTGAGGACATTCTGCATTCTGGAAGGTAAATAGAGTCCTGGGCTTCATCAGGCAGTGTGCAAAAAGCACCACCACCACATGGCCCTGATGGAAGTGGCCCTCCATGGCTCAAATTGTGACCATAGTTTGAAGACACTCAGAGATTTTTAAAAAAAGAAAAATTAAATAGAAGAGCAGAAACAGGGAAATCAGCTTTGATCAACTGTATCCACAATTGGCTTTTTCCTCCCTGTAAATATAATAATTTTAATGATACAGCATTTAAAATTATGTAATGTTTTAGGCATCATTATTAAGACCAAATACAGCTTTTCTGAGCTTATCCCAATGGGTAAGCCTGAATAAGGAGTAGAGGAAGATGGTCTTAAGAGATGCTCTTCAAAAATCTCAGATTGCCCTTGTTTATTTTCATAGCAATCTCTCTATTAAAAGTAGATATCTAGAGAATAGTCTTTTTTCCCCTTTTTGGATATTTAAATTTCTAATACTTACATGATTAACTGGGTGATGAATTTAGGGTCATTTTTGTTTTCTTCATTACGCTTTTCGGTTTGTTGCGCTTTTTTGTATAGCATAACTAACACCCAATATATCTATTTTTTAAGCCCCATGGGATTTCAAATACAAATGACTCAATTTTCTTTCCTTTTCTAGGAGAAAGGGTGAAGGGCTGGTAATGACGATAAACATTGGTTGTTTCTAAAGCACCTCTTTTCTAATTATATCTGCTTATAGCTGATACAGCATGAGATCATTTATTATCCATGTTTCCTGGTTGAATTACAGAATTGTTATAGATCACAGGCTCAAAAAATCAAAACAAATTTGAAGTTCCTCATAGATACAAATGGTGACTTCCTGTTAGGAAGAGCACAGCAGTTCAGAATCTTGTCTAGATTCTTCTGACACAAAAGAGGATTATATCGCCAAAGCTTTTAATGTGTGTGGTGGGGAGGGAGAAAAGGAAGAGGAGGGAGATGACCTTGGGCTTTGGATTTACTATGACCCACTTCTGGGTGAATGACAACTGCCTTTGTGGATCTGAGAGACCAAAGATTTGAACAGAAAGGACTTATGTGGAAAGCTTTGGTACTCGATTTATGCCACACATCCCAGTTTTCTTTTGCTATCCGAGTATAAACCAAAAAACAATTTAGCCCAATTCCTGTAGGTTTAATAATTTGAAACTAAGTAAATAAGAACATTAAATTAATCTTATGTTTCTATATTGCATTACTTTTTCTTTTTCTTTTCTGGTTTTTTTTTTGTTGTTGTTTTTTTTTGTTTGTTTGTTTGTTTTTTGTTTTTGAGATTCAGTCTCGCTCTGTCACCCAGGCTGGAGGACAGTGGTGCAATCTCAGCTCACTGCAACCTCCGCCTCCTGGGTTCAAGTGATTCTCCTGCCTCAGCCTTCCAAGTAGCTGGGATTACAGGTGCCAACCACCACACCCAGCTAATTTTTGTATTTTTAGCAGAGAAAGGGTTTCGCCATGATGGCCAGGCTGGTCTCGAATTCCTGACCTCAAGTGATCCACCCACCTAGGCCTGCCAAAGTGCTGGGATTACAGGCGTGAGCCACCATGCCTGGCCAATCTGCACTGCATTACATTTAAACATAAATCTGGTTTTGGGTAATCTGATTTCCAAGGAAGAATAATTTACTTTTGTAAGGACTGGAATTTTAACCCAGAAACAGACCTAATAATTTGGCATTCATCAAAACATAACTTTTTCCCATTGGACTTAAAAGGTGATATGGGGTGGAAATTGCTGTTTACCTTAAAAATAGTTTGCAAGCCAAACATTCTCTTCTAGGCCGATGAACAAATTCTCCGAGCATAAACTTCTGAGAGAAAACACTTCCAATTATCTAAAAACAAATAATTCCTCTTTTCTGGCTATATTAAACTCTCTATGCATCTTTCTCCCAAACTTCAATGTCTCATTAAAAAAAGCCTTTTATGGCTTTCCCTGGAGAATTATCTTACAAATCAATGGCATAGCTTCAATAACTCTTTAATAACTTTCCTGTCTTCCAAGACAAAAATGATCAGTGTTCTTCATTACAGTAAACGCATTTACAAGCTGCTGTGTCATCTATAAATCCCTTGGTTAGAGACCAACTATATATATTTTAAAATAGAATGTTAGAACTAGAGGGTGTCTTAGAGTTGATCCAACACAAGCTGCATAATCAAATCCCCGGACAACCTTTGGAAATACTGATGCCAGGGTGTACCCACACCAATTAAATCAGAGCCAATTAATCACCAATTACATTCATTTAAATCAGATAGGGCCCAGTCACCAGTATTTCTTAAGAGTTTCCTGGCCAGGCACAGTGGCTCACACCTGTAATCCCAGCACTTTGGGAGGCTGAGGCGGGTAGATCATGAGGTCAGCAGATCGAGACCATCCTGGCCCATATAGTGAAACCCCGCCTCTACTAACACACAAAAGCTTAGCCAGGCATGGTGGTGCGCACCTGTAGTCCCAGCTACTTGGGAGGCTGAGGAAGGGGAATCGCTTGAACCCCGGAGACAGATGTTGCAGTGAGCTGAGATCGCACCACTGCACTCCAGCCTGGCAACAGAGCAGACTCCGTCTCAAAAAAAAAAAAAAAAAGCTTCCCTGGTGATTCTGATATATAGTGAACGCCAGGAACCACTGATCTAGTCCAACCACCTCATTCCACAGGTAAGAAAGCTGAGGACCAGAGCTATTAAGTTATTAAGTGACATTCCTGAAGATTCTGAGATTACATCTCAGAATTTGATTCCAAAAAGGGACCACAATATGAACCCAATTCCCTGGGAGCTCCCAGAGACCAGTTATCTAACAGCGAGTCTGACTGCTGCCTTTACCCTAGGAGTTCACGGCTGTCAGGTTGCATATCACCCTGTGGGCTGGAACACACCTCCCTCCTGCCATCCTCATCAGAAAACAACATCCTAATTCTCAATCGATATTAA